TAGCTGTTTCTTTCTCTCTCCTTCTCCTTTTTTCTGTCTCTGCCTAAATAAATCACTTTTCTGCTACACTTTTGGGGTCTGGTATCTATTTCACAAGCGCACTGTGCCGTGGTCTCCTCTCTCATTCTTGAGAGAGTGATAGACCACGAACCTGGAGAAATGTCCTCTCAGGGGAGCCTATGGCTCCTCTGAACCCCAACACTTTCATCTTACTTTTGCTGTGAAGCTAAAACTGCTCAAAAAAGTAAAGATTTGTTTTTAAATTATAAAGACCAATACCTGGTTAGAGTTTTATAATATTTGATAATATTTTGTTGGAGTTGTAGCATTTTAAACAGTGGTTAATGAATGTGAAATCATAAATTTTGCTAACCTAAGCAGAGGGCTACCCAAAGGAATTTGGATAACACATAAGCCCTTAGGATGCTGGGCTCCACAGCCCAGCCTGCCATCTTCAGTAGTGAAGCCTAAATGCATGACCACTTAGTTCTCCTGTCTTGTGGCTAAAGTTTTCAAAAAGCTGAATTTGTATTTCAAAGCAATAAGATACCAAAAATATCAATTTTGTATAATTATGTGTTTTACATTTGTATAAAATTACATGCTGGTTCATATTATTCATTTTAAAAACCTTGACTCCTAGACATGCTTCATAACCAATGCATATTTATTTTATGCAAATTGACACTTAGAATGGCCTTTAGATGCATGTGCTCAGGTGACTGACCAAATAGCACAAATAAAGGTGAAATATTATGGAACCTTGGCAGATTACAACCTTACATATGCATCACTTCAAAATGATTTCTTACATATTATCTCATTCCCAGCCCAGTTACAAGCCCAGGAAGTAAATTAATAATCACCAGAAGTCAGAGTATGCATTTAAGAATAATTTAGGCACTTTCACATAGCAAATTTATTGATGTATATTCATGATGTTTATATACACAGTTATACATCATAGACGGTGTATCCAAAATGTCTCTTAAATCTGCCCCCTTCTCCACATCCCCACAGTGGCTATCCTAGTTCCAACTTCCTTGTCCCTTCCCTTTCTCTCCCCCTCTCTAACCCATCTCACACTCACTGCTCTCAGCATCTTCTGCTTAAACGGAGATCTGGTTACTTCCCTCCCCTGTTTAAAAATCCACCATACCTTCCCCCACTGCCTACTGCTTTATGAAGTGGACTGTTGAATAACTAGAACAGACCACAGCAGGTCAAGCAATTCCTTTAGGCTCACGTTGTGCCTCTAAAATGTATGCAAAGCTTTTTCATTCCAATCTATAATTTATACTTGAATTTAATACAAATATCACAGTTTGGACCATTTCCATTTCTAGGAAAATATGCATGGCAAGCTGGTCTGACAGCTTCCAAAACCCCTGGCACACTGCCTCCTAATGTCCTCAGAGATGCCCAGACTAGGGCCAGGTGAAATGTAAACTTGCGGAGGAACTCAGGACACTTCACACACTGCAACCTACTGTTCCCCAGATTCATTCTGCACCTACTACCAAAGAAAAAATCATAGCCTCCTCGTTGTAAGGTGTGCTTCTAAAGCATCATTCTTACCAAAGTGTCTGTAAAACTATCAGTAGTTTGGTCAGTACTATATTGATCTTTCAGAATGTCTCAAAAAACACAACACATTAAATTTTCTGAGAAGTCTTGCAGCCTGTAGTGAAGATCCACAGGTTGCCAGCATCCCACAAAACACACCCTGTTGAAGGTGAGCTGTCCTCCACTGCACTTCAGTCTCTCCTCAGCCTGTTCCCATTACCTGGAAAGGATTTCCCACTTTGAGTGGCAAACTCCTTCTCATTTTTAGAACTCTAACCACTATCTCTTTAAAGCCATTCTCAGCTTCCCTAGTTGGGAACAATGTTTTCTAGCGTTTTGTGTAGATATTTATATTAAATTTCATCACATGTAGTAATTTTGGATTTACTTTCTAATCCCCCTAGCCACATCATGAGATCTCTGAAAGAAAAAATAATCCCTCTTTCATCTGTTAATTCTCAGCATTTGTCAAAGTCCACAATAGGAGCTCAAAAGTATGTGTGGAATAAATTGATGAAAGAGTAAATGATCTTTCACAAAAATAAAACATGTAACATCATATGCTGTCTCCCTATCACTCCAGTCAGGAATCTATGCTGACAAAAAAGGAATCAGTAGCAATATTTGGGAGGAGGAAAAACAACTATTGTGGTTTCTAGACAAGCGCAGTTAAAATGGGCAACAAATGTATAAAGAGAATCTATACCAGCCGAGATTTTGTCATAGGAAGACTTTATGAGAACCATTGTGTCTCTATCCAGAGTGCTGAGATTTCAGCGGAAAGACCTGGCTCCGCTTCAAAAACCCCGCACAGCCAAGTAAGGCTGGAATACAAATGTTTGCATATTTCGTTATGTCTGATAGACTTCAACTTCATCCAGGATCTCAGGAAAGTCACATTAAATTAGTTACAATTCATCCAGTTTAAATAAATTAAATGACTGTGTTCTGCAGAAGTTACCAAGTCTAAAGGAAGCAGCACATGAAAGACAAAGGACTTGTCCCATGTTGGTTTTCCTCAAAGCCCTCCCTCTAATTACAGAGTGACCTTGGGCAAGTGACCACACCTTTCTAGACATGAACTTCTTGACCTCCAAGTTGAGCAGTTACATAATTAAGATGGAGCAGACCTTCAGTGAATCACCACTGTACAGCAAGCACTCTATTATTTAATCCTTCCAAAACTCTCTGAAGCAAGTATTATTATTCTCATTTAACACATGAGAAAACAGGGCTTGGAAAGGTAAGGTAGTTTGTTCAAGGCCACTCCCCGAACACACAGCATTGACTGGCTGGGAAATTCAATGTGTTCACAGCCCACCCTATGGCCAAGGTGGGAGAGAAACTTTCTCCCGCCCCCTTCCCATGACCTCTGGCTGCTGACAGCCTTCTTCACAATGCATTTCCTAAGGACACTGGAATATCATTGACACAAAGTTCCAATTTGCTATTTTTGTAATTTTCTAACATGACAAAAGTTATTATTTTTAAATGTTCGTGTGGTGTAACACTAACTTATGCCTAAACTTCTCCTAAGACTCAACACTTCTCATAATGACTTTGTTTCCTAAGAGACTCTTAAAGAAGCAGACATGCCCAGAAAAAAGCCTGCAGTTTCTCCATGAGTGGTCCCTTCTCTAAAAGGGGCTGCTGCAGCCTTAGCAACCTCAGGAGCCTGCTGTACTGATTCCTCCTGTTCCTCTACTGAGGGGCTACTGCATCATCACCCCCATCCAGGCAACACAGGGATACCCACTCCAAGGGAAGCAGCTGTGGAGCAGACACAAACAGTGAGGCAGCCTGGCTGGAGCTGACCCTGGGCAAATGGGGGAAGAGGCAGGTACAGTCCCTTTCTCACCCTGTCACACACCACTTGCGGAGTGTGTCAGCTCTGCTGCCTGGTCCTTTTTCATGTGGTTTCTGCATGAAAATGACCATAATCACATATCTAGCTTTAAGGTCCCTTCAAGTTGTTTCCATATTCTTTAGTTGATCACAGTGACTGATAGGGTACTACAGTGTCCATTTTATTAACAAGAAAGCCAAGGCTCAAGATGCTTAGGAAGCTTCCCTAACACCAGCCACCCAGAAACCAACAGAGCCAGAACCCACCGAGAATCCCAAATACAAATCCTGAGCTCCTTAAAGTAAGTGAGGAGCTGCTCTATAAACAGCAACTTTTGCTGTTTTGCAACCCATGAGACTGCACCTGCCTTCCCCTACAGCTCTTCTCTCATAATAACTTTTCCGCATCATCGCATACACATTCAATATTTTAAAGCATGATTCTGCCTATAGGAGGAAGAACACATTTGAGGTGAGTGAATTGGAAGGGAAGCAACATACCACAGCAATTTTAACAAGGTTAAGTGATACACCATTCATCAACATGATAGTGAGGGTAACTTTATTTGTAGGATTATGAAATATCACCTCTTATCTTATTCTACTTTGCCAGGTGGCTCTTAGCACTATTTCTTTTTTAACCAGGAATTGTGGCTATTCTCTCACCTCGTTCCTACCATGCTCTCCCTCCCAATGAACATCATCAGCCCTGTGCCCACCCTGCCCCACTCCAGGGTGCTCCACGATAGACTCCGATACTCTGTATAGACAAGACACCAAACCTATTTATAACGCATTAAACAATTGTGTGAAGTATTTGTATCGTACGGAGAATATACCAATGAATATTGAATAACCAAAGCACCATAGAGGAACAAAAGGCAAGTTTACACAGATCGGACAACTGAAATGGGCACTAAAGGCTGCAAGGCAAGAGGCCCATGGAGCTGGTGGCAGCTGCCTGGAGGGACAGACACATGTATTCCTGGTGGGGAGCCCAGAGTCCTGAGAGCAAGACTCCGGGTACCTGTCCTCACCAGGAAGGCAAAGCATGCCCATTGCTAGGATGGGGGCGCAGTGAAAGCTCACAGCTGACCCTCTTGCTCTCTGCCTGGACAGAGTCGCCAGCTGCAAAGCTCAGAGCCAGGCCCCACCAAAAAAGTTATATACCACAGGCGGCAGAAAAGCCTAGAAGTGGCCAAATTGACACCCAATGCTGGACTGCATGTCAACACTTACACCATAAGAGAGACCAAAAAGTGAACGCCACATGCTCTTGCTACTGAGTCCCAGTTCAGGATGCTTGAGTTTCTAAGCTGAGGGAAAGGCGGGACCCAAGTACCCACGCACAGGTGGCCGAGGTGATGGAACAAGCTTCACCAGGTCCCTCCTTGGCGGGCGGGGAGGCCGAGGGCTGAGACACTTGGGAGAGGGCAGACTGGGGACAGGCTCAGAGCATGGCCCTGCCTCGCCTGGGGCCAACTAGGGTGTCCCAGACGAGCTCCCCCGCCAGCCACCGGACGCTTTCTAAAACGCCCCTCGGAGCCCAGGGAGGGGAGAGGGCAGCCCTGCAGCCAGGCGGGACTCACCACGTCCATGATCTGCAGGAGGCTCAGGGAGAAGTAGACGGTGAGCGGCTGCGAGTCATTGGCCACCGGCCTCTCCAAGGGGTTGTAGTTCTTCACCAGCTCCTTGTAGAGCTTCCTCTGGAACTCGCCTTGCAGGGACACTAAGGAGAGGAGACCCGGGCAGGGGGCTCAGGCAGGCCGGCGAGGGGAGTGCCCCCAGGCCCCCCTGCCCGCGTCCCCGCCGCCCACCCGGTGCAGCCCAGACAAGCAGCCCCCGCAGCGCCCCCGCAGCCCTCGCCGGCGGTGGAGAGACCCCAAACCTGGCCCAGGCGCGGGGCCACAGAACCGCCTGGGATGTGCCGGGATCCCGTGGAGGAGTGGAGGGCGGGGAGACGGCGGCTTTACCGTGCAGGAGCGACGCGGCCAGCGCCAGCCAGGCGCCTCCCGGCGAGCAGCGCATGTTGAGTCCCGGAGCCGGCGCGCCTCACGTCTCGGCTGCAGCCCAGGCCTGCGCCTGCGGCCACGGAGCCGCCTCTCAGCTCTGCTCGCGCGCTTTAAGGAGCCGGGCGCGCGCCCCCGCCCCGCCACTCCACGTGACGAGCCCCGCCCCCGCCCCGCCCCCATCCCGCCCGCCCGGGCCGGCGTCTCGGCGGCCACCCGGGGAACTGCAGGCACCGGTGCGAGCGGGCGGTACCCCCGGCTGGGTCCGCTCCGGGCGCCTCCACCCGCGGTCTCCACCGAGCGGGCTCTCCGCCTGGCGCTTCCAGTCCGACCAGTCGCTGCCCAAGGCCCGGCTCTGCCTCTCCCTTCCGCTCTCGGTCCCCCTCAGCCCGCTCCCGCTCTCAGCCAGAAGCTGCGCCGGGCAATCCCCCGGGAGAAAGCCGGGAAGATTCTGGGGTGCAGTCCTCCAGAACTCCCTCCTCGTCACGGCTGTGGGGACCAGACCGCCCCGGAGAAGCCCCCTCCTGCAGCTTTCCGCGAGCCCGGGTGTGCTCTCCGCAGTTTGCGCGGCGCCAGTCAGCTGCCAGACTCCGCCGGGTCGGAAGTGCTGAGGCCCCCTGTGGGGGAGGAGGGAGGCCGCCAGTGTGTGCTGGGGTTCCCAGCGGTCACCTAACGTGTGGCTCGTCATTTTTTAAAGGAGATTAAAGAGATGGAAAAGTTAACTCCTAACTCTTTGCTGGAAGGACAGCCAGAACTTGGGGTTCTCATCTGGCTCTTTTGAGCGAGCGCACTGGGATAGTTAATGCGAAGGAGAGGCTCAGGGAGGCCCAGGGAGTGCGGAGGGTTCTCGCTGACGAAGAGGAGACGCGGTTCTGGAAGGGAAGGGCGGGACGACGGCTCCGAGGGGCGGCTTCCAGGGAGGCTGGAGCTCGGTCCAGTTCGCTCGCCTCTGCCGAGCTCCGCGGCGCCTGCGTCCGCGTAGGGGGCGCTCCCGCTTTCCCGCCTCCCCAGCATCCCAGCTCCACCAGAGCAACTCCCGCGAACCACGCAGCGGCAACGCCTACGTTTTTCAACTGCCTGAAACCAGGGGATCCTTTTAAGTCGCCAGGAACTAGGGAAAGGCTCAGCAAAAGGTGACTGAGCTTGAGTGTACTCCGGTAGCAGGCATGGAGGAGTGAGCCCAGTTACTTGACTTGGAAGGAGAATGAAGTGCGTTGCCCTTGCGGTGAAGTGTCTCAAATTAAAGCAGGTGTATTCCTGTTAATGGACACGTGTTTAAACAAATGGTCAGCACAGGCTTTCATAACTGCGGTAAGGGCCTAGAGGAAGGAGGATTAGCTGTTTTTGGAGAGATCATAGAAGAGGTGACAGCTGAACTAGATTCACCTCAAAGGATAGCGGTGGTTCAACCAGGAGAAAGGGACGCCGGGGTCCCTGGAGAGCAGACGGGCGGGCCCTTAGCTTCATCTGGCTCCTGAGTGCCCCCAGCACCTCCAGCAGTCCGGACAGCACAAAGCAGGCTCTTGGTGAAGAAATTATCTACAGGGGATTGGTTGTTGGTAAAGAGGGAATGACAAGAAAGGAACTAAAACCCCAGTAACAGAGTAGAGAAAGCTCATGAAGCATCAGTTAAAAGATTCTCACTGGCGCATCCCCTCCACTGATCATGAGACTGTAACACTCTGCCAAGCGTCGGCGCTGAAAGTGCCTAAAAGCCCTGCCTTCCCTTCTAGAAGAGCATGAGCACATGGGGCAAGGGAATTTATTTTTCTTGAGTATGGCCATTGGGATCACATCCCTGAAACCAGAACTGCTTCCTTGCCTACATTGCATCCCGTAATATCAGAAACCTAGAAATAAACCATTTTCAGGTGGGATAAGCAATTCGTAAATATTTATTTGTCCTCTCTTCTCTGCCAAGCACTTGGAGGACCCACAGGCACAATCCACTCAGCTCACGACGGACAACTGCTGGTAGTGTGGAAAGTGAACCTCAAGTCTCCCCTGTGCCATGAAGTAGGTCTGTGAGTTTGGCTGTATTGACTCCCATCTATGGGACTCAGGTTTTTTATTTGTGAAATGAAAAGAGTAGGACATTCTCAGAATAGAGATGACTGGACTAGGTAGGTTCTACCCTCACTCCCGTTCCCAACGTAAGAAAAAAGCGAATAAACATAGCAGGATATGAATACATGCCTGGGCATACCAAAAATATGGGTTCTAAGGGCAAGAGGAAAATTATGACACACTCTCAGGAGGTAAGGTGACCTTGGGCTTGGGGCCTGTGAGAGGTGGGGAACTGGAATGGAGATATTCACATAAATCCAGAAACTGGTAATCTCCCCTCCAATGTAA